TGTCCCTTCCCTACGTTAGCGACTACCTCGATGCGGCGGCGCACACATAACTCGTAACCTTGTGACTCACCAGCGCGTCAGCGTTTTTGCCTGCCTGTGCGTCAAGAACTCGGTTTACCTTCCACTCCACCTTGCAGTCTCTTCCACTTACCAAATGTATTGCCGTCTTGCTTGACATCAACTTCTTACCATTGCGTTACGTCGTTTATCACCAGTCGAGCCAAAAACCTAGCCGGTTTTTACCACAACACTGTCTGCTACCTATCCATCGCAACTAACGTGCCTCATTCTCGATTCTACCTGAAGTGTTGCATTTGTCTTTGTGTTGACCTTCCCGTCGGTATTCTGTTCATTCATATCTGTAGGGTCATATACAAAGGTAAATTTCTTTTAATTCTCTCCCTGTTATGCGTGCACGGCAACCGCTGTTCGTTTAAGGCGACAACTAGAGGGAGGGCAGGACAAAGTCACAGACTCTCAGCAGTTCCTCCATGTAATCGGCAAGACCATCGGAGCCTGACCTCTCTTAACTGTTTGAACGTGTGACTGGATTGCCGCAGAAAGAACTCTCCAGGCACGCTCTGTCTCAGAGTCAAGGAAAGCGGTTCAAGGCGGACGCGAACCAAAATGGCTCAGTTGCATTGTCGCATCTTCAAATCCATTTCGTTCGGTTTGAATGTTTGCTGGAGGACTGAAACCATTGGCAAGATCTCCTGAAGCGGTTGCCGTTTCTACCGGATAAGAATAGCAGGCTGTGAAAATGGATGTTTGGAAGTTCATTGCATCAGCAAAAGTTTTTCAGAGCTGCTGCGCCAGATTTTCTTACGTTTTGCGTCCCGTTGCCGCATGAAAGCAAAACTGGCAGACAGTGCAGCTTCCGGTGTTTACCGTACTTTATCGCCACCGCTGAAACGTCGAAGGTTGGATAAGTGAATTTTTGTATTCTGACTTGTGAGACGTCAAGCGTCTCGCATCGTTCCCCAAGTGACTTCCATACAGTGAAACCGGGGTCAGCGGGTATTTTGCGTCTGCCTCGGCTCCAGCGGTAACGTCGTCAGTGAGGTGACCTGAAAGATGGGTTGGACATGGTATCTCAAGTACGGAGATCTTCGCACCTGCATGAGGAGTAGCAATAATCTAAGAAAATACAGCAATGTCCTCTAAAAACGCTCATCATCATCCACATCACCGGCATTCTAATAAACTGTTGGTCCCCAGTAAACCGAGGCACTGCACGTATTCATTCAGCAATGTGACAGAGCTCTTTAATTCAGTGTCGTTGTGAGCATTTTTGTTGCCGTCAGTGTGATTGACAAATACAATTGATGGAATTTGTTGATTAATTATTCAGATTTTACCGGAAACGTGTTAAGACATTAACATCGCTGCTTTGGCTTACCGTTTGACCACAACCATTAAGAAGTTCCGTTTAAGCAAATCAGAAAGAAAAATCGTAAATTAATCGTAAATATGCATAATGATATGCCATCAACTAACAAGGCATTTAAAACTTTTGTATAATCATGGCATAAAATTTGTTTATATCAGCCTTATCGAAGAATTGAATACTAGTTACACAACTGACAACAAGTTATTCAGCGGATCATGATCATCATCCAGCGATGAGTGCATCAGTGAGATATCATTTCATCGGCGCTTTTCGCCGCCGCCTTGGAATCACTGATCGACCGATTAAATTTATACAGTGGGATCAGTATTGATGAAGAGCAGATGATGCAGTTCTCATTTGCGGACGACTGCACCGTTTTCGCACAGAACACAATGGCGCTCCAACAGAAGATGTAAGAAGAATCTCGAATCGTCAGATTGCAGATTAGCCTCTCTTAGACGACATGGATGCTAAACGAACAGTGCCCCGTAGCTCAGTCTG